ACCATCCTGGCTAACACGGTGAAACCCCGTCTCTACTAAAAAAATACAAAAAACTAGCCGGACGAGGTGGCAGGCGCCTGTAGTCCCAGCTACTCGGGAGGCTGAGGCAGGAGAATGGCGTAAACCCAGGAGGCGGAGCTTGCAGTGAGCCGAGATCTGGCCACTGCACTCCAGCCTGGGAGACAGAGCCAGACTCCGTCTCAAAAAAAAAAAAAAAGAAATTAGCTGGGCATGATGGCACATGCATGTAGTCCCAGCTACTCAGGAGACTGAGGCAGGAGGATCCTTTGAGCCCAGGAAGTCGAGGCTGCAGTGAGCTATGATGATCACTACACCCCAGCCTGAGCAACAAAGCAAGACTCTATCTCTAAAAAAAATTGTAAAAAGAACTTGTAAAAGCTGGCGCGGCCGGGCGTGGTGGCTCAAGCCTGTAATCCCAGCACTTTGGGAGGCCGAGACGGGCGGATCACGAGGTCAGGAGATCGAGACCATCCTGACTAATGCGGTGAAACCCCGTCTCTACTAAAAAATACAAAAAACTAGCTGGGCGAGGTGGCGGGCGCCCGTAGTCCCAGCTACTCGGGAGGCTGAGGCAGGAGAATGGCGTAAACCCGGGAGGCGGAGCTTGCAGTGAGCTGAAGATCCGGCCACTGCACTCTAGCCTGGGCGACAGAGCGAGACTCCGTCTCAAAAAAAAAAAAAAAAAAGCTGGCGCAGTGGCTCATGCCTGTAATCCCAGCACTCAGGGAGGCTGAGGCGGGCGGATCACTTGAGGTCAGGAGTTTGAGACCAGTCTGGCCAACATGGTGAAACCCCGTCTCTACTAAAAATACAAAAATTAGCCTTGGGTGGTGGCGCGTGCCTGTAATCCCAGCTACTTGGGAGGCAGGAGAATCACTTGAACCCAGGAGGCGGAGGTTGCAGTGAGCCGAGATTGCGCCACTGCACTCCAGCCTGGCGACAGAGTGAGACTCAGTCTCAACAATAAAAAAAATAACTTGGAAAGGTGAACTTGAAACAATAATTACAAGTAATCACCCTAGCAATTAATCACAGATGGGAAGATTGATAATAGCAACTCCTGGTCCAGTCTGAATGAGTGGGGAGAGCCTAGGGTCCAAGGCAGTGGTGTAGGAAACCTCCTGAGTTACCGGCCATTGGCATGTGATAGGGCCAGGCAGGGGCCAGGGGACACCGTGCTCTATAGCTCCAGGAAGAGTTCGGGTGTGAGGGTCTCCATAGGTCCTCGAACTCTCTGGAGTCCATGCTTGGGCCTCGGGTCCGGAACCACAAAGCCGCTCTCCCTCGGTTCCTTCCCGGGCCGACCTTCGGCCTCCCGCCCAGCCTAACTTGCCCTCCTGGCCTATTAACCTGTGTTCCCCTTTACTTCTCTCCCCAAGGATTTGGAAGGAGTGCCACCCTCTAAAAAGATGAAACTGGAGGCCTCTCAACAAAACTCCGAAGAGATGTAGACGATGCTTTAAAGCCTCCGATCCATGTTCCATGGAAGGTACATCAGCAATTAATTCTAGAGCAACTTTGCCCCAGCGATTCCTCTTGGGTGCGAACAGAACTACTAACGTTTCAAGTTTACCAAGTGCAAATCCAAGAAGACCCAGAACGGCGTCACTTCTCAGACACTGAAGAACTCTGCTGTGAAGCAAAACACTCAAACCTTTAAGGGACTGTCCTTGGGGAGGCAGGTGGGGCTGACAGCTCAGGAGTGTCTGCACACTGTCTCGGAAGCCAGGATTCCATTTGTGTTGCTGCTGTATTTTTTTCCCCACTTCTCTATGTAACGATATAAGCTATTGGAGGGTGGTACTGATCAGGAACGCTTTTCGGCGGGGCTTTTCACTGTTCAACCGATTCCTTCCGCTTTCTTTTTTTGTGCCTTGTGCCCTTGAGGTGACCTCTGGCATGTATCCTGGTGGTTCTTGCATCCCCCTCTGCAAAGTGCCCTCTTGGTTTGGTTCGGGCGGCAGCTGCCACCCTACTCACCGCTCTCCTCCCTGCCCCAGGACTTCATCGGAGCAGGCAGGGTGGAGCGGAGGAGCTCCTTAGCCCACCTGGTTTGCAGGTGCAGGGGGACCTTAGGCATGCCCCAAGTACCAGGCACCAGGGCCCAAGGACACGCAGGTGTTGGGGCATAGTCCCCAAGGGCTCGGCTCCTTGCATCAGGCTGGGCACTCACTGTGCTGTCCCCTCCTTGGGGCGTTCAGGACTGGGCGTCTCCAAGCCCACCATGGCCCAGATGGACATGCAAAGCCCTTGGAATTTTCTGGCACTTCCTCTCTATTGCCCCCCGCACCACCACCACCACCACCCCCATTACTGCTTTCTCCCAGACCTCCGAATACGAAATGGCTTCTCTGGCTGACTGCAAGGCTGTCTCCTTAAGGTACTGAGTGGGCCGGGGAGGCTGGGAGCCGGCGGCAGGATTAGCTGGTGCTGAACTTTCTCTCATAGGACGTCGCTTGGATTTCAAATCCACAGTCACCTGCTGCCCTTTGCCTCCCGCGACGCCCCAGCTGGTGCCCCAGAGAGGCAGGATCGCAGCGGTCAGAATCCATGTGCTTTCCTATTCACAGGCTGTTCTGACTCTCAGAGCCAACAGCTGGACCGTGTCTCATCCCCGGAACATGCCGTCTGTCCCCACCAGGGAGCGGGCCTTGATGGCTGGGCCTCGAAGGCCACAAACAAGACGTCGAGGAATTGGAAAGATTTGCACACCCTCCAGAAAGGAGAGACGCAATCTCCCCTCCCTCCCATCCCGCACCTGCGCTGGAACAGCTTCCTCTCACTGAACGGAGACGCCCCCTTGGACGAACTGCCTAATTGTTTGGTTCTGAGGCCTGGTTTGCTCTTAATTAATATATGAACTCCTCAGACCTTAAACCTTTTCCTAAGCTTTCTTTACTGCACTGGAGTTCTGACTCCCTTTGAGTTGTGTGTTACCGGGGGGGTGGGGGTTGCGGGTTTTGTTGTTTTTTGGGGCTAATTGGTGCATATTCAGGTACCACCTTTGACATGTGGATCTTTCTCCTGACCATCACGGGAAGTGTCTGCTGGATTCCATTTTTTAAGAGTTTCTGAGGGTGAGGCTCTTATTTTTTTTTCAAGGGATCCTGTCTATTTCCTGCACTTCAAGAAGAATCAAAATGTTCCTGAATTTCAAATACCTCATGCAAAATGTCTCCTGAAATAAGGGAAAAAAAAAAAAAAAAAAACTTTGAAAATCTTAATGTTGAAGTTAGCAATGCCGAAAGGTTTCTGTCTTAAAAAAAAAAAATCCTTGTACTTATCAATTTTGCCCCTTAGGCAGTCAGTTTTGTTGAGAACTGTGTCCTGTATCCTGGCGCAGAACCTACCTGATGCGGTTCCTCTCCACGCATCTCAAGGCGGCGTTACCTCCAGATCCCGTAGAGTTAGAGTCACATTTTTCTTTGCAGCAAAACTCCATTTTGGTGAGAGATGAATTTGGATATTTATTTCCTTTTCTTTTTTGGGAAACGAGAGGCTACAACCAAGACAGCTGAAGGAGAATGAAACACACATCTACAGAAACAGAGAGGCGTAGGTGGCCCTGCCGTTGGCAGCAGCCTCTCTGGATAGGCAAGGGGAGTTGGCGCAGGTGAGGACTAAGACGACGTCCACCATACCGAGGCTGTCACTAGTATTTCTCTGAAGTGCCTGAAGGTAGGAATGGGCCGGCGATTGGGACCAGCTGGGCCCCACCACGGCCATGCCAGGCAAAGCGCCAGCAGCCCTGCACTCCACGCTGGCCAAGAAGGCCTTCCACGCAGAATGACGAGACTGCAAAAATCCGATGTGCTTCCTTCCCTGGCGCAGTTGCTCCTCTGAGCTGCTGCCCCCCACCCACCCTGCGCCCCTCGCCCTCCCCCCACCACAGAATCTAAGACCTTTCAGCTTCGAGCCAGGGGGCGGGGGATCCCGAGCAAAAGCCTTCCGTGGACATCAGGCCCCGTGGCCTCAAGGGCTCCCAGGGCAAACCTAATTTCCCCCAAAACTTAAAGTCGGGGAAGCTGCGGCTACACATTCCACAAAGTGCTGGCACTTACACCTACAACCCGGAAGGCTGTGGACCGATTCCTCTAGGGTGGTGACCTCCCATTAGCAAACAGTGTCATGGTTTGGAATGTTCATTATTGCCGAGAACCTGGTTAGAGGCATAAAGACCTTTTTTCACCGTTACCTAATTTTTTTCCCCCTCTCAAGACTTTTTTTTTTTTTTTTTTGGTGTGTTGTACAGCAGTATAATTTTTCACTTATTTATTCCATCAGTAGATATGGTTTGTACAATGTACAATGGTTTCATTTCAGAAAATAAAAATTTCAAATCATGAATACCTTGTGCTTTTGTCACATTTTCAGTAAGTAAAGTCAGATTGATGATGACGTTGTCCCTCTCTAGCTGCTCCAGCCTCTCCTGCATGGCTGTGTGGCCCTGATTCTACAAGACACACAAGTTCCTTGCACACAGGAGCTGTTGCCTTCCACAGTCATAAGAGCTGCCATTATTAAGCACCAACTGGATGCCAGGCCACCCACTAGTTGCTCCTTTCTGTGGGCAGGTATTGTCGGCCACCTTGTGCAGGTGAGAAAACAGCAGGACAGTCCCATGTAGGACTCTCATGCCCGGTCAGGCCCCCAGGTTGAAAGCCACACCCGAAGCCAGGTGTGGTGACTCACGCCTGTAATCCCAGCACTTTGGGAGGCCGAGAAAGGCGATCACCTGAGGTCAGGAGTTTGAGACCAGCCTGGGCAACATGGCGAAACCCCGTGTCTACTAAAAATACAAAAATTAGCCAGGTGTGGTGGCATGCACCTGTAATCCCAGCTAGTTGGGAGGCTGAGGCAGGAGAATGGCTTGAACCTGGGAGGCGGAGGTTGCAGTGAGCTGAGATCACGCCACTGCACTCCAGCCTGGGCGCAACAGAGTGAGACTCTGTCTCAAAAAAAAAAAAAAAAGCCACACCTGATCTGTCTACCCCGAGGCCTGGGTTCCAGCAGGGACATGTTTTTGGCTTCCCTGTCTCTGAGGGGGCTCTGGATTGTGGCAGGGACTCAGGGGCGTTAGTGCATGGGTGGACTGCAGCCTCGGCTTGACTTGTCTTAATGGCCTCTAGTGACTTACATGGTGGGGCTGGAACTGGACCTTTCCCAGGGCCATGACCCTTTTGGCCCAAACTGCTTCCCCCAAGCTGACTTCCCCACCTGTGTCCAGCCTCTCCTGGCCCTGGGCTAGCCACTAAAGAGGGCTGGCAGGGGTGGGGGTATTGTGTCAGCGGGTCTAGGCCAAGCTGCACTGCGTGGATCGGCTACAGGCAGATGCTGTCTCCTGTTTGTTCTGTCTGACTCTCCTTCCTACCCGTTCCTTTTTAACATGTTCCAGTGTTTTTACCAGAATTGGCTGCTCAGCTAAATAAACTCCTGATATGGAAAGTTCAGCTTGACAAAACACAAATCATAGAGGCCTTGTTTGCTTAAGGGAAAAAAAAATGCCTGAGCTGGCACACGTTCCCGCGCTTCCTTTCTGCCCTCTCTGCGTGTCTGTTCCCAGCTCTCGCTCTCTGGATCGGCATCCCTCCCTCCTTTCTCTAAGGCTTCTGCTTTTTCCCCCTGCTTCCCTTGTCTCCACCCGCCTAGATCACTGTCTCTCAGTCATTCTGCGGAACTTCCTCTGTGTCTCTCACTGGAGCGCCCTAACTTCCTCTCCCACCTCCCTTCATCAAGGAGCAGTCTCATGCCCAGGAGCTACAAATGTAGCTTTGCAGGCATTGATTGAGCTGTGCTGGGCCCTAGGCAGCAATGACTCAAACTTGACACTTAACCCCCAGGCAGGTAAGTGAGCCCCAGTGCTTTCCGATGCCAACCACAGTTTGGAATTAGGGGATACAGACATTCTGATGGCAAGGGTCAGGGAATCTCCTAGGACACTGGAGGAATACCAGGCCTGGGGATAAGCAGCTTGTTTTTCGTTTTTGACACAAAGGAGTGGCTGGAAGTTTCTGAGCCAAGGCTCTGCTGGACTGGGGATGGTGTTGCCAATGAATAGCATGGATTGGAAAAGACCAGACTGGAGGTGGGAGCTGGGCAACTAGGGAACTGGAACAATAGGCCAAGCAGGGGGCCAGCAGTTGGCAGCACGGCCCATGTGCCCCCAGGGAATGCGAAGGCGGTCAGTAGGCAGGGAAGTGGGGTGGGGAAGGGGTCAGCTGGGGGAGGTAGGCAGAGAAGGCTCAGGTCCAAGCTCCAGTCCATGCCATGGCAACAAGTGTCACAGAGGTCCCTGGTGGGGCCGAGGATGGATTAAAGACCCTAAAGGCCAAGTCCAGCTTCTCTCTCTCGCTCCTCTGGGTGAAGAAGGTATGTTTCCTCCAGAGCCTCAGATTAGACATCCGTTGACCTTGTCTATCCAGTTCTGTTTCCCTCTTCTTCCCATAGGGGTCGCCCTCCTTCCCCGGTCCTTAAGTGGGGCGGGCACCGCTCCCAGGATGGTCATATGACCCAGTCCTAGCCAATCACCATGGTCCCGCCTCCTGGCTACCACAATTGGCTCAGGGATGAGCACGTGGCCCGTAGTGGCCCAATGAGAGTCATCCCTGAGTGGGAACTGGTGGGAAAGAATTCTGCAGGAGCATCTGGAGTTGCTCAAACGGAGTGCCTGCAGCCATCTTTCCTTCCACGTGCGGAGGAATCAGCCTGAGAATGAAACCATCGCAGGAAAGGGCTGAAAGACAGTGAGTGTGTGCTTTCTAAGGGCAGCATTTGAGCCTAGGCCCCAGCCGGCCCTGAAGCCAGCACAATCCTCGGAACGTCTCAATTTTGTGAGCCAATAAATGCCCTTGATTGTTTAGGCAAGTTTTCACTGGGTCTTACCCCACGTGAGCCCCCACTCCTCCATATGGACCTGTTTTGGACCAACGAGGCATCCCCTTCTGTAGTCCTCAACACGGGGAGCTCCACCACTCCCTAGCCGTGTGACCTCAGGCAAGTATCTTAACCTTTCTGGGTCGCTGTTTCGTCATTTGTATAATAGGAGAATAATGGTGCCTACAGGGTTGTTGTGAGGATTAAGTGAATACGTGTAAAGCACTCAAAGCAGACCCTGGCACATGGTGAATCTCAAATGATAGCTGCTATTTTATCGTTATTATCCTCACGCACCTCTATCTTCAGAAGACCAGTTCCGAGAGCAGGAGGCACAGGGAAGGGAAGAATGGCCCTCCCCTGGTTGCCTTGGGTTTGCCCTCAGTTACACTTTGCTCTCTGAAGACCCACCTCTTCCCCAAGTGATTGACACTGGAGTCATCCGCACAGCATGCCCCAGATGCGGCACAGCCTGAGTCAGGCTTTGTGGGATGCGCCCACCCGGGAACAGGAAGGAGAGACGTGCCTGACTGAGCAGAGGGCTAGAGGTCAGACAACACGTCCCTGCCCTGGGCACTGGCTGCTCAGTCATTAAAGCAGACCCAAATAGCTTCTGGCCGGGGGCTCAAAGGAACAGCCAATTAGAGACTCATTTTTCCAGTCTCTCTCTCACTGTTGTTCTCTTTCCACAGGTGGGGTTGGGGAGAGGCCTCGGGATGGCAAGGACCAGGATCTGCTGCCAAGCCTATGGGTCCTGTCTCTGGGATGCCCCTGGGACACTGGTACCCATGGATGCACTGGGCGACTTGAGGTCAATGGCTTTCTCTCTCCAGACCTAGGCAGAAAAAGCAATCTGCTTTGCATCAGACAACCTTAAGAGGCTCTTAATCCTGCTCTTTCCTCCCTCTGGGCTCCCTCTGTGATGAGCTCATCTGATCTCTTGGCAACCCCAAAGGGTGGTTTAGAGCAGGGAATCAGCCTCCCGATTTACAGAAAGGATAACTCAGACCAGGGAAGTGACTTGGACAGGGTCCTGCAGAGACTCAGTGAAGGAGGCTTCGGAACCCAGCCTGTCTTCCAGCACACCAGGAATCAGCAAATCTGGCTGACTACCTGGTTTATTTTATTTTATTTTATTTTATTTATTTATTTATTTATTTTTGAGACGAAGTCTAGCTTTTGTCACCCAAGCTGGAGTGCAATGGCACGATCTCGGCTCACTGCAACCTCCGCCTCTGGGGTTCAAGCAATTCTTCTGCCTCAGCCTCCCAAGTAGCTGGGATTACAGGTGCCTGCCACCACGCCCAGCTAATTTTTGTATCTTTAGTAGAGACGGGGTTTCACCATGTTGGCCAGGCTGATCTCGAACTCCTGACCTCAGGTGATCCGCCCGCCTTGGCCTCCCAAAGTGTTGGGATTACAGGCCTGAGCCACTGCACCCAGTCCACCTGATTTTTTAAAAATAAAGTTTTATTGGAACAAACCATGCTTGTTCATTTACATATTGTTCCTGGCTGCTTTCACCATACAACAACAGAGTTGAATACAGATGCTCTTCAATTTACAATGGGTTACTTCCCAGTAAGCCCATAAATTGGCCTGTGGTCCCAGCTAACCTGAAAGGCTGAGTGGGAGAATCACTTGAGCCTGGGAGGTCAAGGCTGCAGTGAACCCTGATGGCGCCACTGCACTCCAGCCTGGATGACAGAGTGAGGCCGTGAGTGAGGGTCCCACGTAGCTGGAACCACACAGGTGCATGGTGCCATGTGTGGCTATTTATTTTTATTTTTTATTTTTTGTAGAGACTGGATTTTACCATGTTGCTCAGGCTGGTCTTGAACTCCTGGCTTCAAGTGATCCTCCTACCTTGGCCTCTGTATTTACAGGGATTACAGGCCTGAGCCACTGTGCCCAGTCCTGAATATTTAATCAACATGTAAGGGTATAGCTCAATGATTTTTCACCTACTGAACACACCTGCGTGACTTGCATCTGGATCAATAAACAATATCACTAATCCCGAGTCCCCTTCCTATCCCTGTGTAGTCACTACCCCTCTAAGTGTGGCCGATACCCTGACTTCTACCTGCACTGATTTATTTGGCTTATTTTTTAGCTTTACACACACGGAATGATGTAATATATGCTCTTGTGTGTCTAGCATCTTTCACTCAACATGGTATTTGTGAGATTCAATACTACTATGTGAGATTGTATGTCATTCATTCTCATTGCTGGAGAATATTCCATGGGATGAGTGTACTACAATGTGCTTATCCATTCTTTGGACATTTGAGATATTTCCAGCCAGGGTGGCAGAGAGAATTATGAATTCTGGAGGATGGCTTGAGGCCAGGATTTCAAGACCAGCCTGGGCAACATAGCCAAACCCCATCTCTACAAAAAATTTAAAAATTAGCCAAGCATGTGATACACACCTTTAGTCCCAGCTACCCAGGAGGCTGAGGTGGGAGGACTGATTGAGCCCAGGAGTTGGAGAGTGCAGTAAGCCAAAACTGTGCCACTGCACTCCAGCCTGGGCAACAGAGCAAGACCTTATCTCAAACAAAACAAAACATACAAACAAAAAAATGGCCTGGCAAAATCTTTGTGACTTTGGGGTTAGGCAAAGCTTTTTGCTAAAGCCTGGGCAACATGGTGAAACTCTGTCCCTACCAAAATTACAGAAGTTAGCCAAGTGGCTGGGCATGGTACACCTGTAATCCCAGCACTTTGGGAGGCCAAGGTGGGTGGATCATCTGAGGTCAGGACTTCGAGACCAGCCTGGCCAACATGGTGAAACCCCGTCTCTACTAAAAATACAAAAATTAGCCAGAAGTGCTGGTGGGCGCCTGTGATCCCAGCTATCGGGAGGCTGAGGCAGGTGAATTGCTTGAACTTGGGAGGTGGAGGTTGCAGTTAGCTGAGATTGCGCCACTGCACTCCAGCCTGGGCCAACAGAGCGAGACTCTGTCTCAAAAAAAAAAAAAAAATGTTAGGGCCAGGCATGGTGGTGCGCATCTATAATCCCAGCTACTCAGGAGGCCGAGGCAGGAGAATCACTTGAACCCGGGAGATGGAGGTTGCAGTGAGCCGAGATTGCGTCACTGCAGTCCAGCCTGGGTGATGAAATGAGATTCTGCCTCAAAAAAAAAAAAAAAAAAAAAAAAATTCCAAACCCACATCCATCTATTTCTTCACCCTTCTGTGCCTCAGTTTTCTTATGTGTAAGATAATGGTAACTGTCCCTGACCTGCCCACCTCCCAGGGTTGTGTGGGAACCAGTTAAATCTGGACCTTTGAGGAAGGCTGTACAAACTGTTGAGGGCTGTTCAGTCATGAAACTCTTCTGCCTGCACCCCATACATACAATTAGGTGCTTGCTGCAGAGGCATCAGGGGTCTCTGGCCAGAGGCGACATCTGAAGCAATCGGGATCCTGTTTGGTTTTGCCACATCCGACCTGCCGCCCGGCCGGGGCAAGACAGCCACGCGCAGCGGATGCACCGGCCCTGAACTCTTTCTCGAGTGGTCCCCAGAGGTAGCTGCTGCCTTTCAGTTTCTGCACTTGTTTATTTTCAAAGGGACGTTGCCAGACCACGAGGCCACCCTGCCCTTTCATGGTTTGTTTTATGCAGATTTCAGGAAGAGAGAGAAGAGGTAAAGAGACCAGAAACAAAGTCTTCTGCAAGCAAAGAACTGCAACAGGCCCCAGCTGTTAGGTTTGAGGGGCATATGGGGCAGGCGACTGAACTGCACAGTTGGGGCCAGAGGTACGGTTGCTGACCCCTGAGCCCAGGAGCCTTGAGAATATGGACAGTGTTAATAATAACTGCAAACATCCAACAGATGATGCTAGAATAACTGGACATCTGTGTGCAAAAATAATGAACCTATACCTTGCACCTTATCACAAAATTCACTCAAAATAGATCACAGACCAAAATGTAAAACATAAAACTAAGACTCCTAGGGGAAAACAGGAGAAAATCTTTGTGACTTTTGGGTTAGGCAAAGCTTTTTGCTAAAGACACTGATAAGAGATTGAAAAAACAAGCAGACAGATTGCCAGATGATCCTTGCAAAACATATATCTGATAAAAGACTTGTAGCCAGAACATAAAAAGAACTCTCTTTTTTTCTTCGTTGTTATTTATTTATTTATTTATTTATTTTGAGATGGAGTCTTACTTTGTCGCATAAGCTAGAGTGCAGTGGGGCGATCTCAGCTGACTGCAACCTCTGCCTCCTGGGTTCAAGCAGTTCTCCTGTCTCAGCCTCCTGAGTAGCTGGGATTATAGGGCATGTGCCACCAGGCCCAGCTAATTTTTTTTTTTTTTTTTTGAGATGGAGTCTCCCTCTATCGCCAGGCTGGAGTGCAGTGGTGCAGTCTGGGCTCACTGCAACCTCCTACTCCCTGGTTCAAGCTATTCTCCTACCTCAGCCTCCCGAGAATGTGGGATTACAAGCACGCTCCACCACCCCCAGCTAATTTTTATATTTTTGGTAGAGATGAGGTTTCGCCATGTTGACCAGGCTGGTCTCGAACTCCTGACCTCAAGCAATCCACCCATCTCAGCCTCCCAAAGTGCTGGGATTATAGGTGTGAGTCACCACACCCAGCCTCTTCTTCCTTTTCTTTTCTTTTCTTTTTTTTTTTTTTGTTCTTTTTGTTTTTTGAGACGGAGTCTCGCTCTGTTGTCCAGGCTGGAGTGCAGTGGCCGGATCTCAGCTCACTGCAAGCTCCACCTCCCGGGTTCACGCCATTCTCCTGCCTCAGCCTCCCGAGTAGCTGGGACTACAGGTGCCCACCACCACGCCCGGCTAGTGTTTTTGTTTTTTTTTTAGTAGAGATGGGGTTTCACCGTGTTAGCCAGGATTGTCTCAATCTCCTGACCTCGTGATCCACCCGTCTCGGCCTCCCAAAGTGCTGGGATTACAGGCTTGAGCCACCGTGCCCAGCCCTCTTTTCTTTTCTTTTTTTTTTTTTTTGAGACAGGGCCTTGCTCTGTCACCCAGGCTGGAGTGCAGTGGTGTGATCACGGCTCACTGCAGCCTCGACCTCCCAGGCTCAGGTGATCCACCCACCTCAGTCCCCCAGGTAGCTGTGATCATGCCACTGAACTCCAGCCTAGGCAACAAAGCAAGATCCTATCTCTGAATTTTAAAAAAGTGCAAAAATCTGGATGTAAATATTTACACTGGTCTTATTCATAACCACCAAAAACTAGAAACAACTAAAATGGCTTCAACTGGTAAATGTATAAACACAAAGTGGTACGTTCATAAAATGAAATACTACGCAGCAATAAAAAGGAACGAGCTACAGATACACACAGCAGCACGGCAGAATCTCAGATGCATTATGCTCAGTGAGAGAAGCCAGACTCAAGGCTACTTTTTGGAGGATTCTATTCCGGAAAAGGCAAAACAATGGTAACAAGAAACAGATGGGTCATTGCCAGGGACTAGAATGGAGAGAGGGAATGACTACAAAGGACAAGTGGGAACTGGGGGTGAGGATGGGTACTGGAACTCGTGTGTGTGTATGTGTGTTTGTATACGTGTCTATGTATATATATGTGTGTGTGTGTATTTTTTGAGAGACAAAGTCTTGTTCTGTCATCCAGTCGAGTGTAATGGCACGGTCATAGCTCACTGCAGCCTCGAACTTCTGGGCTCAAGGGATTCTCCTGCCTCAAACCCCCGAGTGGCTGGGACCACAGGCTCACGCCACCATGCCTGGCTAATTATTATTTTTTTGTACTGACAGGATCTTGCCATCTTACCAGGTTGGTTTCCAGCTCCTGGGCTCCAGTGATCCTCCCCTCTCAGCCTCCCAAAGTGCTGGGATTACAGGTGTGAACCACTGTGCCTGTCCTGTCCTATATCTTTTCTTTTTTTTTTTTTTTTTGACAGAGTCTCACTCTGTCGCCCAGGCTAGAGTGCAGTGGTGCAATCTTGGCTTACTGCAACCTCCATGTCCCAGGTTCAAGCAATTCTTCCTCAGCCTCCCAAGTAGCTGGGATTACAAGCACATGCCACCACGCCCAGCTAATTCATGTATATCACCATGTTGGCCAGGCTGGCCTTGAACTCCCGGCCTCAAATGATCCACGTGCCTCAGCCTCCCAAAGTGCTGGGATTACAGGCATGAGCTACCGCGCCCAGCCCTGTCCTATATCTTGATCGTGGAAGTGGTCACTTTACTGTATATGTTTGTCAAAACTCCTGGAACTGTACATTAAAAAGAACTTTTCCAGGCGCAGTGGCCCATGTCTGTAAACCCAGCACTTTGGGAGGCCGAGGCAGGTGGATCACTTGACACCAGGAGTTCGAGACCAGCCTGGCCAACATGGTGAAACCCTGTCTCTACTAAAAATACAAAAATTAGCCGGGTGTGGTGCCACACGCTTGTAGTCCCAGCTACTTGGGAGGCTGAGGCAGGAGAATTGTTTGAACACTGCAGAGGTTGCAGTGAGCTGAGATCATGCCACTGCACTCCAGCCTGGGCAACAGAGTGGGACTTCGTCTCAAAATAAATACATAAATGAATAAAGAGGACAGTCAGACTGTGCACAGTGGCTCATGCCTGTAATCCCAGCACTTTGGGAGGCCAAGGCAGGAGGATCCCTTGAGCCCAGGAATTCTTTTTTTTTTTTTTTTTTGAGACGGCGTCTCGTTCTGTCACCAGGCTGGAGTGCAGTGGCAATCTTGGCTCACTGCAACCTCTGACTCCCGGGTTCAAGCGATTCTCTTGCCTTAGCCTCCCGAGTAGCTGGGATTACAAGTGCCCACCACCACGCCCGGCTAATGTTTATATTTTTAGTAGAGACGGGGTTTCACCGTGTTGGCCAGGATGGTCTCGATTTCCTGACCTCGTGATCCGCCTGCCTCGGCCTCCCAAAGTGCTGGGATTACAGGTGTGAGCCACCACACCCAGCCAGAGCCCAGGAATTCAAGACCAGCTTGGGCAACATAGGGAGACCCTGCCTCTATTAAAAAATTAAATAATATAAAAATAAAGAGGATAGTTGCTCCTGAGCTCCAGCTGCTGACGTGGAAATAAGGGCCCAGTGTTGTCAGGTGTTCTGATAGTTCAGGAAAATCCTTTTTTTTTTTTTGAGACGGAGTCGCGCTGTGTCACCCAGGCTGAAGTATAATGGTGTGATCTCGGCTCACTGCAACCTCCACCTCCTGGGTTCAAGCGATTCTCCTGCCTCAGCCTCCCGAGTAGCTGGCACTACAGGCATGGGCCACCACGCCTGGCTAATTTTTGTATTTTTAGTAGAGATGGGGTTTCACCATGTTGTCCAGGCTGGTCTCGAACTTCTGACCTCAAATGATCCGCCCACCTTGGCATCCCACAGTGCTGGGATTATAGGCGTGAGCCACCGGTGCTCAGCCAATCCTAACATTCTAGTGTCTCTATAACATGAAATGTCATGATTTTTACAATGTTAGCAAATCATTCAAAATTTTAATAAAGTGTCTAGATGTTAGTTTTTACTATGGTAAAAACATGGTCACCCCTTTTGCTCCTAAATCACCCTCAAAGTAAGAGAACAAGAAACAGAAGCAGAAGATCCATATTTAGTGAAATAAGGCAACACCTGTAGCTCCAAACCTGTAGAAGCAGATCCCAGTGAAAAGCAGGCCGGTTCTCTTGGAATCCCATAAAGTCTCAGGAATTGGAGGCTTCAGTGCTGCAGTAGGGAGGGGACTAAAAACAAAGTCTGTATATGGAGCAGTAAGACCTCCGGGTTCTCATCCCCCATCCTGTGCGCTCTCGGGTGACTAGCTCTCTCCCTCTCCAGGTTTAGCTTATGGAGAAATTAAATCAAAGAGGCTCCAGAACTGAGGACAGCAGGCATTGAGTGCAAGGAGTGAGTTGCCAGAGGCTGGGAGCAGAGAGATTTAGTGGCAGTGGGCAGAGCAAACAGCAAAATGACTGCCCTCTTCCCTGGCCTTGCTCCAGAAACTGAACAGCCAGACATACACACTCCCAGAAGGCAATTGGAGGTCCCCCTAGGCAATCAGAACCACCCACAGAGAAGACCTCCAGATACTGACATTTAGAAGCCTCTGACCAAGGAGCTGCCTGGCCACCCACTGGCTTACTTGCTGACAGGCCATGCTCCTGCTGTACACACTGATCCTATCAGTCATCTTCATGGGCTTCTTTCCAGACTTCTGAGGAGAGCTTCCAACATGAAGAGGGAGTTCAAAACAAACTAAGAGAGAGAGAAAAATAAATAAATAAACAAACAATGCAGGGAGCAAAAGATAACTTCAAATAAACTCAAAATATTCTTCGGGGAGAGATAAGAGACAATATTGCATACATAAAACAAGAAAAGGATGCTGTCACTAAATTTAAAAAAAAGTAACAGAAAGTAAGAAAGACCTCTAAGAAATGTTTCTGAAATGAGGTGTATATATATACACACACACACACGCATATATACATATATACATATATTATTATTTTTTTTTTGGAGAGGGAGTCACACTCTGTCACCCAGGCTGGAGTGCAGTGGCACAATCTCAGCTCACTGCAACCTCCGCCTCCCAGGTTCAAGCGATTCTCATGCCTCAGTCTCCCGAGTAGCTGGGATTACAGGCACACACCACCATGCCCGGCTAATTTTTGTATTTTTAGTAGAGATGGGGTTTCACCATGTTGGCCAGGCTGGTCTCAACCTCCTGACCTGAGATGATCCACCCGCCTCGGCCTCCCGAAGTGCTAGGATTACAGCCGTGAGCCACTGGACCTGGCCAAAACTCTTTTTTTTTAAATCATAACTTTAAAAACCCAGTTTTAAGTTTTTTTTTTTTTTTTTTTTTTTTTTTTTTTGTGCTACACTGTTTCTTGTGTTCCATATCTTTCTCGTACTTGAATTTCGTTTT